GCACGCCCGAGCCGTGCTCACCGCCAAGAGGATGCTAATTCCAACTTGGATCGGGGGAGGGAGCGTCCTGGATGCCGAGCGCCTCCCGGCTATTTGCTCTTCTTTATTTGTTTTCTCCTCCGGGGAAGGAGGAGGAAAACGGAGAGAAAAGGAGAGGGAAAGAAGCTGCCCGCCGCGTCTCCGGTGCCCGCCGGCTGCTCAGGAGCGAGGGTGGAGGCGAGGTGAGGGTCGCGGCTCGCTCACTCGCTTTCTCTTTTTTTTTTTTTGAAAGGCGGGGTCTCTTTGCAAACCAATGACACAACCCCACATGGGCCGGCCTCGCCCCCTAGAGCGACTCCTCACTACAAATCGGCTCTCTCGGGGGATTAGTGGCTTCGCGAAAGTGGACACTGGCGCGGCGGGCGGGCCCGGGCACGGCGGCACTCCCTGGCCCGGCCCCGCCCGGGAGGCCCTGGAGAAGCGCGGGGGCCTGACGGCGGAGGCGGGGGTCCCGCCGCGGCCCCCTTCCTCCTCCACCCCCTTCCACGTGGGGCCTCAGGCGGCCGGCCACATGGGGGGACGCGAGCCCGGGCGAGCCTGGGCGCAGCGCCTCGGGGTGGCTTTAGCCAGGCCCGCGGCGCCGACCTGCCCGCTTCCAGGCCCCGAGGCTCCAACTTCCTCCTGGGCCCCTGCGACCGCCGCTTCTGCCTTCCCAGGCCCGCGGGGTCAGGCGCGGGCCGGCCCCAGGGGGCACTTGTGCTCCCCAAATCCGGATCCGGGCGAAGGGGCCCGCGCCTGGCCCGAGAGGCGGCCGTGGCTGTGGGTGCTCGGGAGGGGGCCCTATGTGCTGGAACTCGAAGCGGTTGTGTTCCCTACGAGAAGCAAAACATTTCTCACACATTAAAAACCACGTTCCTTCCTGCTGCCTGGATCTCGCCAGGCGATTTGTAAAGCCTTCTCTTGGGGGAGAGCTCGGGCCTCTCGGGAGAGGCGCGCTGGGGCCTGGGGGGCCGAGAGTCGGGGTCCTGGGCTCGCGCGGTGCCCTTCCGCGCCGGGAGCCCGTGCCTCCGCGCGCCTCGAGGTTCGAGCCTGGACCCCAAACCTGGGGAGCAGGCCGAGAGCCGGCCGCACCTGGACTGGATTCCATGCCTGTGTTTGCGGAAGGGAGTCGGCGGCTGCGGGGTCGGGGGGCTTTTCTGTGTGCGCCCGGAGCCCCCAAACTCATCTCACTTCCCTGAGGTCGGCCACGCGTCCTCCATGCGCCCCTCTCTGGGCTGAACTGAGCCTTTAGTCTCGAACTATGTGAAAATCATAGTGAGACGCTGGGAACTGGACTGAGACGTTCCGCAGGAAAGGCGTGGGGAGGGTGTGAGGTCCGGCCTCGCAGGCCCGCAGCAATGCCTGGAGCCTGGTGGCTCGCGAGTGCACCACACCCTGGGGCCAGAGCAAGGGCCACCTCGCCGCTGGACCCCCTCCTGCATCCCGGAGCGCTGCGCCAGGCCTCAGTCTATTAACATTTTAAGGTTTAAGAACTCGTGATCTGGCCTGAGCAGGGAGTAGGTGCTCCCTGCCCGTTGGCTACAGTGCACTCGGAAGTGGCCACCGGCCTTGCGGGGCTGTGACTCCTGATGGTTGTTTCATCATAAAACAATAAAGTCTTAAAACTATTGAAGACCTCCCAGATGTGATGTCAGTGCTGGACTCGGCCACTCACACCCCCTAGCTCCCGGAATGAAGCGACTAAGATGTTGACAAGCACGTTTTCTGCGTGGCCCTAACAGGCCCCCCACCAGGCCAGCTACGTGCCTGTTTCCCCGCATCTTCTGGTGACCTGTTTCCCCACAACATCATCTCCAGCAGTTCTGTCGCAAGGTCATGGTGCCTAAGATAGATCTTGGCATAAACTATAACCATAATAACTATAAATAAAGATTTTTCTGCTTCCTTATTTCACAGATGACCTTTGGTTCTGAGTGGCCCTTTATTCTCACCCAGAAACCACAAAAAGTCAGCTGATTTTCTTCTATAACTTAATCAACTTGAATGTCTACTATGAACTTGACCTAACTTAGAAAATACTATGTTCTTTGTGTTGAGAATGTTAAAAAGGAAGTGTCCTCAGAGCCAAAAATTATTTACTTCAACTTGACACTGTGTATTTTTTTTTAATCCTCACCTGAGGGTATGTTTTTATTGATTTTTAGAGAGAGAGAGAAACATTAATGTGTGAGAGAAACATCCATTGGTTGCCTCCCATACACGCCCAACGGGATAGAACTTGAAACCAAGGCATGTGCCTGACCAGGAATGGGACCCAAAACCTTCTGGTGGACTGGACGACGCTCTAACCAACTGAGTCACGCAGCCAGATCAACACCCTGTATTTTAAAACAGTAAGCCCATTTGGCCCTAATAGGTAAATTACTTTAAACTACAATTGTGTGTTTTAAAAAAGACGCTCCAAACAACGCAAAAAAGCAGCCCAATTCAAAAGTGGGCAAAGACTTGAATAGACATTTCTCAAAGAAAGATACACAAAAATGACCAACAATCAGCATCACCAATCCTTAGGGAAATGCAAATCAAACCCACAGTAGATACTACTTCACGTCCATTGGGATGGCTGTTATAAAAATTTAAAAGATCAAGAAAAAAACAGAAAATAACAAGCGTTGGTAGGGATGTGGAGAAATCAGAAAACTTGTGGCTTGCTGGTGAGAATGTAAATTGGTGCAGCTGCTGTGGAAAGCAGTATGGAGGTTCCTCAAAAAGTAACCCAGGAATTCCAACTCTAGGTGTATACGTAAAAGAATGGAACCCAGGCTCTCAAATATGTGTGCCTACATACGATGTTCACAGCTATGTTCACAGTAGCCAAGAGGCGCGAAACACACGTGGTGTGGACACAACGGAACGCTATTCAGCCTTGAAAAGGAAGGGAATGCTGGCACCTGTGATAACGTGGAGGAGCCTTGAGGACACTGCACTCAGTGAAATAAACCAGACACAGACGGACAAACAGGACATGTAGACGAGGCGAGTTCATCCAGACAGGCAAAGTGGAATAGAGATGACCGAGCGCTGTGGGGCGAGGAGAGCGGGAGGTGGCCGTGTCATGGGCACAGAGAGAGTCCGTCGGGTGCTGAAGCAGCTCTGGAAACGGCCGCGGTGAAGGCCGCACCTGCTGTGGATGTGCTCAATGCCACAGGACTGCACGCTTAACATTGAATGAATGGTCAGTGCTGTGTATGTGTGACCGCAGCACTATAACGATGCTGCAAAGTCGTTTTTGTCTTACAAACTTTTTAGTTCATATTTATTACTATATATAAAGGTAATCTGGCCCGGCTGGCATGGCTCAGTGGTTGAGCATCGACCTAAGAATCAGGAGGTCAGGGTTCGATTCCCGGTCAGGGCATATGCCTGGGTTGCGGGCTCCATCTCCAGTGTGGGGCGTGCAGGAGGCAGCCAGTCAATGATTCTCATCATTGATGTTTTTCTCTCTCTCTCCCCCTCCCTCTCTGAAATCAACAAAAATATATTTTTAAAAATACCAGTAGTAGATAACAAAATAAACATTAATAAAGGGAATTTGTAATGAGGAAAATTAAGATAAAGACAACATACTTTGTTTTAAAATACATATCAGTTAGTTTACAGAATAAATGCCTTTTACTGATTTTTACCTCTGTGCTGAAATGCCCATTTTTCAGTCTTCTCCATGATCTTTTTCCATCTGGTCCTGTTTAGTTGGTCAGGTTCGGTTTCTGGTGTTCCAACTGTGACAGACACACACAAAAAGAGCCATAAAAGTAACAGTAGCAACCAATAACTGTCCCCAACTCAGAGGTCCTGGTGCTGGGCTAAGCCCCTGACACGCATCTTTATCCTCCCAGCAGTCCCTGAAGAGAGATGCTGGCTTTATCCCCATTTTACAGATGAGGGAACTTGAGGCAACTTAATGGGACTTCCCCAGGGTCACCCTGCTGGCCAGTGAGGAGATGGGGTTGGACTCCTTCCTGTCTGATTCCGACATGCCCCCCTCCCCATTTCAAGAAGGGTTTCTGTTTGCATTTACATATCTTCATTATTAGTTCAGAAAAGGTCAAGTTAGTTACTTCTGGAATAAATTTTTAGCATCTTCTTATTGAAAGTTTGTTCTTTAATAACAAGCTTTCAATCTAATCTTTAAAGGAGAGAAAAAGAAAGAAAACCCAAGAATTAAATATTAAACAGATTTTTAAAGACACAGATAGGTATGACATGTGGATTTTAAGGCTCCTGAGGGTGGATTTCAGAACCCCAACAAAAAGCTGTGATAATGAGAAAGCAGAACATAAATGACTGGTTACTGAGAAGTATCATCCTTCTGCATGTTACTTTCATATTGAGGAAGAAGAAATAATTCAGAGTTCAAAAAGGCTGCACCTGAGTTCCTGTAAAAGATGCCCATCACTTTCTTCTGATGGTCTGAGTTACACAGAAAAGCTGGCCACCGCATTCTCCATCTGTTGGGGTCCGCTGGTGAGCCAAGCGTCCTCAGTGGGGGAGTCTGAAAGGGCCCACTGGGACAATGGTCTCCCCTTTATTCTGGGAGCTCAGCTCATCTGCCCAGGAGTCTCCATTTCCACCCGATGCTGCCCATGAAGACTGCCTGTCTTCTGGTTGGGTTGTTTCTTCTGGCTTCACCAGCGTCTGCTCATGGGTCTCTTGGCACATCAAGTTCAAACTCCTTATCAAAGTGATTGCTTCCCCTTTTCAAGGACTCTGTCTCCTTTCTGGGTTCTAGAATTTGGGATTCAGATAGGGGGTGTTTTCCTACCCCAAGGCTCTGGGGGTGGGGTCCTAGCGCTCCAGTTGTGGGGTCTGGCCCAGGGAGCCCCGTACTGCAGTGTAGGGGCAGGGTAACTGGCACAGGTGTAATACTCAGCACAGAGAGGACAAGGGCTCGTTCCTGGGGGCCCAGCCATTTCTCTGCTGACCTGGCACAGCTGCCCCTCTAAGACACTGCCGTATCCTGCAAAGCCCCCTGCCTCCCCCACTAATCCCTCCTCCAGGGCCACCTCCCTCATGGATGCACAGTACTTCTCCTTTCAGGTGCTGTCTACGTCCCCCAAGAAGCCATGGGTTCCATCCAGGCCACAACATAGGGGAGCCCTTACCACAGGCCATCGGTCCAGTCACTTCTCTCGGCCAGCCCACCCCCCAACACACACACACACACACACACACACACACACACACACACACAGTGGGCACAAGAGTTGGTCTAGATCCCTGCTCTACACTCCTTCAGAAGACAATAAGGTGCATCTCTTGAAGGACTAATGGTGTGCTTTGAACAGATCATTAGAACGATCATTAGAACTGGGTAAACCATGATTCCTTGTTGCCTTGGCTGCTAGGAAGCTCAAAGAAGACAGCCTATGGTCACAGTCCAGGAAGCAACATGTGAAGGGACTGTGGGAGAGGAGTGGTTTGTGTTGTTGGAAAAGGCATATTAAATATTTTCATGTAGTTTTATACCTGGAAAACAAAATACCAATTGTCCTGATAATACAAATTACTGAAAATAAGCTCCGTGAACTCTTCTGGTTTGGTGAGGATACGCAGGTGACATAAGGTCACTTCCTGGACTTGAGGAAACTGGCCTGAGAAACCACTGGGAGGCGTGTCTGGTTCCCATTTTGACTTTTTTGGTCAACTGTAGGCTTGTATACATGTTTTTACTATAACCACCTAAAATATTTGGGGGAGTGAAAAATTATTAATAAATATATAAAATCCCAGTCATATCAACACCTCTGACTTAGGGCAAGGGACTTTTTTAGGGGACAAGAGTTGCCCTTGATGGCCAGTTGTAACCATGAAAATGTGTGACAGTTTGATCTGTTTTGTAGGACCTTGGATAGTAGGAGGTGCTTGATTAAGTATTTCTTGGATGCATGGGTGGATGGGAGGATGGATGGATCACTCAGTTACTGTATTTCGAGAGAGTCAAGCTGCATAAAAGCTATATATGCAAACTGTTTACAAAGAGTAATGTAATTTTAATTGAACATATTAGTATTAGGGAGGTAGGATTTGGGGTTATCTTTAAAGGATTTTTTTAACCTATACTTTGTTATATTATTTGTATAATTTATAAAAGTAAAGGGGCACAGGGAAATGATGTATGCAACTAAGAGTTCAGAAAAAAATAACATGTATAGAAAGCAAATGTGGCAGAACATTAAAAACTGGTGAACTGGGGAGATGGCTACATGGGAGTTCTAACAACTTAGCTATAAAGTTAAAAATTATTTAAAAACAAACGTCGTTTTAAAAACAGCCATACCCCCAGTGCGAAGTGTTGAGTTTGAAAGGCCCTCCGTTGCTCCCGTTTAGCAGGAGGGCATGATTCTCTCCCACTCTGTGCCTCGCAGA